AAGGAAGGAAGGAAGGAAGGAAGGAAGGAAGGAAGGAAGGAAGGAAGAACTTGAAAAAATGCTGGCAGTCAGTGAGCATTATCACTTCACATTTCCTACAGAACCCCACTTCGATAAGAGGTAACCCTTTGCCGGGTGCATGGTGCATGCATTTAACCCCAGCACTCGGGAGGCAGAAGCAGGCAGAGCCCTGTGAGTTTGAGGCTAGCCTGGTCTATAGAGTGAGTTGAAAACAGCTAGGGCTACACAATAAAAAAGCCTGTCTCAAAACAAGAAGTAATCCTACAAGAGCAGCATAATATATACAGGACATACTTGTATTTCACTTAGGATTCACTCATGGTAAAGGTTATCATGAAGCTCATCCCACTTCATAATTTCCATCAATGAAGATTACCAACCAGGTCCTTCTCAGCAAACAATGGGCAGACGAAAGGCTGCAACGAACAGAAGAGGAAGGCTTGGGGCTGAGGACCCTGAGACAGGAGGACCCAACTTCCAGGTAAGTCATTTTAATCAACTCAATGACCTCCAGTGAAAATGAGGTCCAGTCAAAGACTGACTCAACAAATAGGTGAAAATGGCTAAAGAGATGGCTCAGCAGTTAAGAGCGCTTGCTTCTGCAGAGGACCTGAGCTTGGTTCCCAGCAACCAGACCATGTCTCACAGGCATCTATCCAAGGAATTCAGCAACCTCCCCTGACTTCCTCATACAGCACAAACACGGTACATATGCACACACACACACCCTCATTCACATACACAAACAAACACATATACAAAGTTGTTTTTCAAAAAGTAACAAGGCCAAGTGTAGTAGCACACACCTTTAATTCCAGCACCTGGGAAGAAAAGACAGGATGATCTCTATCAGCCTTGTCTAACAGTGAGTTCCAGGCCAGCCATGACTATATAGTGAGAGCCTGCCTCAGTCTCAAAAAACGAACAGAAGGAGAAGAGTAGATCATTTCAAACATATCATTGAATAAGAGAAGTCAAAAAATAATCCACACACTTTACTTATACATTTAGTTATGGGCCTGAACCAGGCAACACTAAACAGTATGTTTCCTAAGGAGTCTCTCACAGCTACTATGAAGAAAAGCATGGAAAGAGCAACAAAAAACTGTTGAGAGTGCTTCAGGAAAGCAGGAGATGCTATTGGGATGCGATGCAGTGTCTTCTAATGCAGGCTGCCCAGACTTCTTAAGATGAAAGCACAAGAAAAGGACTGGGAGTTTAACTCAATGGTAAAGTACTTGCCCAACATGCTGAGCCATGAGTTCAATTCCCAGTATCACCAAAATAGAAAAGAAGATACAACTGTGTATAGATCTCAAATAGGGGAGACTGAAAACCCACAAGAAAAGAGTTGAAGGGACCTTACCAGCCCCAGGCCCATATAACCACTGAATGAAGAGAGGGGTCAAGATCTAGGGAAAGCCATCATAAGCTCTGCTCTATGACAGGGATCACGTCTACTGTCTCAACAAGGCGCCAAGTGTAAAGGAGACATTCTTTGTGCGGTGTATGCATGCAAATGTGCATGCCTGTGAGATACACATGTTATGATGTGTGTGTACATCTGTGTGAGTTAATGAAAATGATATGGCATCCACGTGGAGGTCAGAAGACCAATGAACAAGCATTCTTGGTAGTTTGGGCAAACCACAAAGTCATCTCTTTCCTACCTAATTTTTGTTGTTTTTGGCTTTTGGAGACAGGGTTTCTCTGTGTAGCCCTGGTCATTCTAGAACTCACACTGTAGACCAGGCTGGCCTGAAACTCAGAAATCCACCTGCCTCTGCCTCCAAGTGCTGGTATTAAAGAGGTACACCACCACCACCCAGCTGTTAACTCCAATTTACAAACACTTGTTTAAAAAGAATCATACAAAAAAAAAAGTATCTAACATTTTCAAGAACCATACTTCACTGTACTGCTCAAGAAGAACAGATGGCAAGAAGTCCTGAGGGTGCAAGTCCACAGGAGGTCCAGTCCAGTTACTCTGAACAAACAGCTGCAAGCTGCCCACACCAAGCAGGAACACCAGCTGCTGTCTGCAAACAAGAATGGTAAACGTCTTAGTTAAGGTCTGTATTGTTATGATTACAAAACAGAACACACCAACACCAAAAGCCAGCTGGGGAGGAAACGGTTTTTCAGCTTACAACCCTCAGATCACACTCCACCAGTGACATAAAGCAAGACAGGAACTCAAGGCCAGAAGCTGAAGGTAGAAACTAAAGCAGAGCCTGTGGAGGAATGAGGCTCACCTGCTTGTTCTCCAAGGCTCTCCTCAGCCTGCTTTCTACTCCTACTCAGAACTATCCACACACGGGTGGCACTGCCCATGGTAAGCTGGGCCCTCCGGTATCAATCACTGATCAAGAAAATGCCCTGCAGACTTGCTCAGGCCAATCTTGCTGAGGTGTTTTCTCAATTAAGATTCCCCTGTCTCCACATAAGTCTAGGTTTGTGTCAGGTTGACAGAAAGCAACCAGCACAAAAAAATAAACAATAATAGACCACCATCACCTTATGCCTTTCTGCATGCTACTTAATTTCAGTTTGACTGAGGAAAAAAAAAAAAAAAAAAGCAAAAAATAGTTGAGACAATCCTAATGTTGTACAATTTATCTCTGCAATGTCCAATAAATCCATTAGCCACATGTGACTTTTAAACTCAATTTAATCTAGGGCTGAGATGACTTAGCAGTTAAAAGCACTGACTGCCCTTCCAAAGGACCCAGATTTTATTTCAAGCACCCGCATGGCTGCTGTCTATTTCCAGGGATCTGCTGCCCTCTTCTGACCTCCATATGCACTGCATGCTTATGGTGCATTGACAGAGGCAAAATACCCATACGTAAACATTAAGTTAACATAAATTTAAGTCTGGTGTGCAGGCATCCTATTGGAAGAAAGGTAAGCTGAGGGTTCCATGATAAACATACAAAGTTCTCTGATCTCTTCAGAGATAATAATCTGAAACATAGTAAATACAAGCATCTCTCAGTAACCTAGAGATAGCACGATGATTCAATGTTTACACATTAAAGAAAATAAGCTACCCGCTTTGGTGTATATGATTTCATCCCTGCCCTTGAGAGGCAGAACAAGTAGATCCCCGTGAGTTTGAAGCCAGCCTGGCCTACATAGTGAGTTCCAGGACAAGGCTACTTAGCAAGACTCTGTAGAGCCTCTCAAAACAAAACAAAAAGCAAGAGACATAAAAGGAGCCGAGCTGATGGCTAACACTCATCAGACCTAAGCTTTGGGAAGTTTAGCAGTGACCACAAGTGTCGTCATTCTCATACACAAAGCTCATTCTGCTCCTACACCACTTTCCTTTTTCGTTCCGGAAGACCTTCTCATCCAGAGACTTACGGAGATTACTCGGCACATCTGAGTCCAGGCTTCTCAACTACTGCTAAATAGCAGGGCCTTATGGTGTCAAAGTACCATGAAAGTATTCAAATTTTATTCATTTATTTATTTGACACATATGAGTGTTTGCCTGGAGATACACACACACACACACACACTACGTGTGCGCCTGGTGCTCATGTGTATCAGGTGTTGGAGTTCCTGGAACTAGACGTCCTACGGCTGTGAACCACCAAATAGACGATGGGAATAGAACACGGGTCCTCTGAAATAACAGTAAGTGCTCTTAACCACTGAACCATCTCTCCAGCCCCCCATTTAAAAAAATGTGCTCCTCTGTGGAAATTTTAAATAAAATTCTACCTTTCAATTTCTTCCAAATCTGTAGAGCAATCCAGGAAATTTACTATCTGCTTCTCCAGGTAGCTGTCAATCTTTTCTTCAGTCATCATTGTTGAATTTAAAATATTTTGTGTCACTGAATGTAAGAACATGGCCTCATAGCTCCCTTCCAAGAGCATGTCTAAGAAAACTTCAATATCTGTAATATAAAAAGTGAGTCCGGTAAGGCAACAGAATTTTTAAGTGTAGATGTAATCCATTATATAAATATCTTCATATGCAAAAAGGTATACACTCGGCTGCACATTAATCACAAAGCATTGAGCAAACTCTTCTTATTCTACTGGCATCACCCCTCCTAGAACTACAGGATAACTACAACGACGATGAGCAGCAAGGTGGAGGACTCACCCAGAGATAATAATAACAACAACAGGTGTATTGCAGTTCGGCATATTACCCTTCTTCCGGAAATTTACAAAAATTCCAACTGGCATAGAAAGGTTTCTATTCCAGAAGTCCTACTTTCAATAATCTCCCAAGAAGTCAATCCAAACACACCGGTTCTCATGATTCACCTTATATCCCCCAGGTACATGTCTGCCTCAACCGTGATTTTTTTTTTTTTTTTTTTTTTTCCTGCTAAACTCTCTTTTACTTGCCAGTCCTAAAAATTTTTAAATCAGCTCAAGTCTGTCTTTCGGGAACTTTTCCCAGACCAACACAGCTCGGGCCATCAAGCAAAACTTCCTCTCTCTTGACACCTATATATCCAGGGCTGGCATCCCTTGTCCTCACAGCTCATCTAACTCCCTAAAGGTGCGCCTCTCTCCTACCTGAGCCAGAGATGCCCTCCTGCTTCCATAACAGCCGCTCCGCCTCCGTGGGGAAGCCCCTCAGAAGGGCCAGCTCCGGAGTCCACATCACCTCCGGCATCGCCGCAACCGAAACGAGGCGCCACGAGGGTCCCACGGGGAGGAGGAAAGTGGAAGGAGGAGAGTCCAAAGTCGCTGGCGTCTAACGGCCACGGTACCCTAAAGACACCCACAGGACTAGAGTCCCATGTGAAGCGACTGGTACATGGGGGCAGCCATGACAGCAGCGCACGGCATCATGGGAAAACATACTCACGCTAATCGGCTTCCTCCTAGGTGACCAACCGGAGACTCAGTTGTAAGCATGCGCAATAGATCGCGGCTGGCGGCATGGGCGGGTCGAGGTCTTGGTACGGTATCTCGGGACCTCATTAGCTAAGGGCTGTTTCTAGGGAAGACAGAGGCTTACTTGGAAGCAAATTCTGCATGAAAACACTCGACCGCCTGGGGTATAGCCAAGTCCTTGGAGGTTAATGCACAGAGCCTTTTCTCCTAACAGACGGACGCAGGCTCTAGAAGTTACTGACCTCTTCTAATGGAGCCCCACGCTAGAACTTCCTTCCTTGGCATAGGTTTTCCTGTGGATGATTGAAAAACCCAGAAAACTAACCTGGAAGTGTAATCTCAGCACCGAGGAGGTTGGTGCGGAAGGGTGGCTGCAACTTCGAAGACAGCCTGAGCTTCACCCTGAGTCCCAAGCTAGCCTCAGCTAAGACTGTGGGGGCCGCCTGGAGAGATGGCTTAACAGAGGACAAAGCACCCACATAAGATGGCTCATAATCATCCTGAAGATCGGGTGCCCTTCTCGGGCTTTCCAGGCACCATGCTTGCCTGGTGGTACACATACATACCTGCAAGCAAACATTCATACACATAAAAATTAAAGGCAGTGGTGGTGCGTGCCTTTAATGCCAGCACTTGAGACTACTCAGAGGTAGGGAGATCTCTGTGAGTTCGAGGCCAGCCTGGTCTACAGAGTTAGTTCCAGGACAGCCAAGGCTACATAGAGGGACCTTGACTTGAAAACAACAATAATAATAGTGATGAAAATTTTCTTTAAAGAGATGAAAAACAGGTCTGGTTTTGATACAGCTTGGAAATTTTTGATTGTCAGTCGGCAGATCCTAGAACACTTAGGTGAAGTAGAAAAAAACCAGCAAGGAAATAGATCTTCCTGCCAGCATGGCAGCTGCTGAGCACAAAGTTTGCTGTTTGCCTCTTCTTTTTATTTTTCTTTCTTTTAATTAGAATAAATGTTCTGTTTTTCACTGTGTTTCACTGAGGAGAAACACCAGCAGCCAATGCAGCCCAAGGTAGAACTGAGACAGAATGGACCTTCACCTGACATTGTAATAACCCTGCCCTGTGCTTCCAGGCATTTCTAATTAGAAGAAACATTTAGTCTTTTGACCAAGATCCAGGAATAGATATGGGTGTGTTACCATAGTACATGAGACAACATTGTTATCCTGAAAGAAGGGATTCAGATAGTAATTTTTTGGTAAGTCTCACCATGTCACTTTTGCTGGCCTGGAACCTGCTATGTAGACCATGCTGGCCTCAAACTAACAGAGGTCTACCTGTTGGAGTTCTGAGATGGAAAAGTGGATCCTCTTCAAAAGCTTCATCATAACGTTTTTTGTTTGTTTGGTTAGTTGGTTTGTTCTTTTCAAGATAAGGTTTCTCTGTGTAGCCCTGGCTGTATTGGAACTCATTCTGTAGACCAGGCTGGCCTTGAATTCACAGAGATCCTCCTGCCTCTGCCTCCCGAGTGCTGAGATCGCAGGTGTGCGCCACCATCATCCGGCTCTTTGTTGTTGTTGTTAGCATTGAACACACACAGAGCAGAGGGCAACTTCCAGGGGTCAGATCTCTCCTACCGTGTGCATCCCAGAGACCGAACTCAGGCTGTCAGGCTCGCCCCGGCCATCTTTACCTAAAGCAGAGTCATCCCTCTGGACCTTGATAATACTTTATGAAAAAAAAAGTTACCTATGTATATGTGTGTCTGTGTGTCTCCATGTGTATGCTGGTGTCTGTGAAGACCAAAAGAGGACACTAGGTCCTATAAAGCTGGAGTCACAGGAGGTTGGGAGCTGCCTACTGTAGGAACTGAACTCAAGTCCTCTGGAAGAGCAACAAGTGCTCTTGAGGACTGGGCCTTCTCTCTGATGCCTTCATAATGTGTTTTCAGCTGGCTCAAAGATAGCATATTTTAAAGGTGGAACATTAAATCAGACATCACTCGTTTTACCTTAATGTCACATTTCATGTTGGACTTCATAAAAGACCCAATAGGCTTCTCAGTTGTGTGTGAAAAATCAACAAATACAAATAGAGTAACAGAGGTTGCTGTATCCTCTCGTCCTCATGGTGAAGTGTTGCAGGATATTTGATCCCATTGGGAAGCCCAAAATTGTAAGCTGTAAAAGCCTATTTCTTGTTTGGTGTTGTTGAGGCCTATTATACACCTATAATCCGAGAACCTTCTGTTTATTGTAAACAGGTGATTATGGTGTGGTTCACCCAGCCCTAGCACACACTTTTTTTTTTAATCTTTTATTATTATTTTTTTTATTAATTACACTTTATTCATTTATCCCCCCATAAGCCCCTCCCTCCTCCCCTGCCGATCCCACCCTCCCTCCCCTTTCTGCATGCATGCCACTCCCCAAGTCCACTGATAGGGGAGGTTCTCCTCTTCTTTCTGATCTTAGTCTATCAGTTCTCATCAAAAGTGGCTGCATTGTCCTCTACTGTGGCCTGGTAAGGCTGCTCCCCCCTCAGGGGGAAGTGATCAACGAGCAGGCCAATCAGATTATGTCAGAGGCAGTCCCTCTTCCCATTACTATGGAACCCACTTGGACACTGAACTGCCATGGGCTACACCATCCTGAGTGAGTTGACCCAGAAGCAAAAAGACACTCACGGTATATACTCACTCATATAAACATACAATATAGAATAAACCCACTAAAATCTGTACATCTAGCACACACTTTTAATTCAAGAGCTTTCTGTACACAGGATTTAATAAAGTTAAACCTAGGTCAAAAGTCAGAGCAAGAAACAGGCTGACAGGTATTAATGAAGAGGGGGGAATTTGAGTTGAGGGGTTTTTTAAAATAGTGTGGAGAAGAGGGGTCTTTTAGCTTTGGATCTTTGGGGCTTTAGCTATCTAGCTCTCTGGCCTAGCAAGCTTTAAGCCTTGCATTTTGGGGGCCTTTTGCTCTGGGATGTCAGCTGAGCTAGTGAGCCTTTTGGGTTTTTTCCATTCCAACCTGAGATGAGAATAAAAGTCAGCTGGGTGCTTTCTCTGATTCTCTGAGCAAGTAGGCTTTTCACCCCAGTATCTGGCTCCTGAGTCTTCAATGGAAAAATAGAACTGCTGGGATTTTCCTTTATTAAAACGACAGCAAAGGAATCACCACTTCCCTTAATCCCAGCCCTCCCCAGGGGTATTAATCACTATCATCAATGATTAAGTCCTTTGGGGCCTTTGCTATTACAACTTGGGGGAAATCGTGTGCCAAAAATGATTGCAATCTTTTTGTCTTTTTGCAGTACTGAGGGTTGAACTCAGGGCCTTTCTCACACTGGGCAAGTGCTCTACCACTGAGCTTCATCCCTAACCCTAAAAATGATAATCCACAAATAATAACAGTGATCAGAGTATGGCTTAGTGGTAGAGGGCATGTCCAGCATAAGGAAAGATCTGGGTCTAACCTTCAGCACCAATATATGTACAGAAATATATATTCCCTTGTGGTGTGGCAGAAATGGGAATCAAACCATATGCTGAGTTTAACTCTTTGCCACATCATCAAGCAAAAAGAGTGCTGCAGCTGTACTGGGGCTGATCACACCTGGGTGTTCCCAGAGTCCCTCTCCTAGGCGAAACTAAGACTCTTCATGCCAACCCCAAGAAGCCAAAACAAATTGTTATGTAGGACAATTTGGCCATTCCAAGACTGTGACAGCCCAACGGCCCACTTCCCCTTGCGAAGATTACAAACCCTGTAACCATTTCTGCCAAAGTCTCTAAGAAAAATGTCCCTATGATACAAGCCAAAAATAAGCAGAGCGGTCATCAAAAAAGCATTTCATCACTTTGGCTGACACAGTGAATAGGACAGACTAGCCCTGGGGACATTCAAAAAGTTTAAGTTTCCTAACACAAGGGTTTGTGGGTAAGAGACTAATGAGTAGCATATGGATAATAAATAGCCTTCATTCTCCTTTGGACTAACAAGGAAGGGATCTGGGATGTTGTTAACATTTCATGCTGTGTCTAAATGTATACCACGTAGAGACTGGCCATGTAAAGTAGACACAGCACGTCACCATATCTTCTTTTCTTCATTAAACCTTGATGTTCCCAATGTATCTAAATACGTTGGTTTGTTTTACATTCATTTGATGTCTGCTGTCAAGAACCTTCAGTCCCTCCAAATAACAATTGTCCTGACAGATGAGTCAAATGACTGGAGACAAAGCCAGATTACTTGAGCTACTTAACACATACATTGAAAATCAGCTCTCATAGGCAAAAAAAAAAAAAAAAAAAAAATCTAAGGTAGAATCAACCACATGTCTACAAAACACTGACTGTCTTACAGCTAATGCATTTTTAGCGATTATTGTTAGGGAGCTGGAGAGATGACTCAGCAGTCAAGACACACACTGCCCTTGCAGAGGACCTGAGTTCTGTTCCCAGCACCCACACCGGGCTGTTCGTAACTGTCTCTAACGCCAGCTCCAGAGCGTCTGACACCCTCTCCCAGGCTCTGCGGACCCTACACTTATGTGTTGCACATACGCATACTCAGGTGCACAGACATACACATGATTAAAAATACAAAACTAAAATCTTGCCTTGTCAGTTGTGAGCCTTAGCCTTTAGTGGCTGAGTCATCTGTCCATCACAAAGATAAGAACTAAAAACCAAGATTGATCTCTCTGAAACTTCGTGACAAGCAGCCATCAGAACAGGTTTTTAAACTGTTTAGTCCATGAGTAATTGCCAGAAGTGAACATGTGTTTTGAAGCACGTTGCTTAAAATCCAGGACAGACTCCCTTGGCTACGAGTGGCTCTGCATGCCAGCCAATCACCCACAACGTCACCTAAGGAAATCCCTCTTACAGACAACGTTGAATGCTTATGCCTCTAAATCAACCAGTACTTGAACTCCAAACCTTCGATGTGATTAACGTAATG